CACCGAGGGAGTTTCATGAAACGATATGGACCAGTCCAGACTACTCGAACAGGTCCAGTTTCGAGCCAACCAAGTTGTTTTAGTCGTTGAGTTGAGCCACATTTAAGTCATTTTAGCCGTTAACCGAGTTAAGCTGTGTTGATGAGTTTTGACTTTGACCTAGGGTTGATTTTGATTAAAAAATCAAAATTTTACAAAAATTATTTTATGTTATTTTACGTCTTGAGTTTAATTCGAAGTTTGTTTTGTTAAATTTATCATAGTAAGTTGGTTTTTAAGTGTTTTATGTTCGATTTAATTCGTTTTTTCGATTAAGTTCTATTTCTGACGTAGTTTTTTCACTATGTATTCGAGATAATATGGGATATCGAATTCAAGTTCGGAGTTATTGATCGACGATATACTGAAAATTGAGGTAATACAATTTATTTTTTGTATATTTTCGGTACACGTTGATGTTTATTATTGCATGAATGATTGTTATTGGTCAATTGGGTATAATTAATTATTTTGAGCTCAAACTGTATACAATAACAAGTTAGTAATTGTATACACTCAGATGACTCGTATAAGAAATGAAAGACCGATAAGAAATAATCCAAACTTAGCGATTAACCAGTAAATCCATTAACCTTAGGATTCGTAAATCTGATTAAATTCGTTAAAGGATAAATGTAGAAATACTTAGATAAGAATTATGAAATACTCCTAGAGTGTAAATTATGAAAATAACCTTGTGATATAAAAGAACCAAGATTGTCTTTGAAAGTGGAAAACACCCAGGAAAGACATACTTGATCCAAATTAAACTACTGATGCACATGTTAAATACTTGTTTTATTTATGAAACTTCTTATATTCCGATTTTAATCTTCGAGATGGTAAAACACTTAGAATTTTGATTCTTGAATAAACACATGAGAATTAACTACTGGAGTAATATCATCACAGAATTAAATGAAATAAGAAAACCCTTAAATGTGAAAAAGGAATTAAGGATGTGGTAGTGAAAAATGACTTGAGATTCATATTTAGGCATACTTATTGCAGATAAATACTAGTCATTAAAGTTTCGACACATGAGATTACAACTATAATCTAGGGGCATATATTCAACAAACACCCTATGAAAGTTGATCGACCGGTCTATCTAAAGGAATCGACTTAACCTATGCTCTGATGCCACAAATATAACACCTCCAAATCGATGGATGACCCGATTGACCTGAGGTGTCACATTAGGGTCACATAACAACCCACTTTGAAAATTTGGAAAAATTAAAACTTTTGTTAAACCATTTAAAACTAAAACACTATAATTAAAAATACAAATACAAAAAATTCATTTATTAAAAACATAATTGAAATCATACCAAATTTCATACTCAATATAAATGTGATCTACATACCCCTAATTACACTAGTATCGTACTCCGCAAACAACACAAAGAAACTCTCATACTGATGTGGAGCTACACAGGATCAATTCCTTTAACCTAAAATAGTGAGTACAAGAGAGCTTTAAGAAAGCTCAGTAATACAATACTACCATATGAATGCTAAAATTCAAGTATATGGCAAAGTATGGATTTTTTCTTAGTTTATCCAGGATATACAATTCCTAGTGATGAGTTAAGATTTCACTATTAAATCTTCAAATAACCGTCAAGAGACTTATAGTTCAGAGGAAACATTCAGAGATACATATTTAGGAGATCGTAATAGGACGTCTAGTGTGCTCCTACAAAACCAGAATAAATAAAATCATAGTTTTAAAATAATAGTAGTTTATTTAAATAAAACAAATTTTAAAATCACTGTAATACCCTCCAACCGAACACTACATATGCAATTCCCTAAAACTATATCCATAAGGACTTACCCTAGGTCCAGTGGGTGTAGGAGCCAACCTAAGGGAGCACTTTGGGTCCATAAGAACTTACCTTAGTCAAAGCGTAAGAGCCACCTGAAGAGAGTGCCCCTAAGGTCATAAGGATTTACCCTAAGCACAAAGTAAATGAGCCACCATAAAGAAATACCTTATGGTCCGTAAGGTCTTACCACTAGGCCCATCAGGCCAAGAGCCTACCCAAGTTTCACCTTCGATCCGTAAGGATTTATCAGCCTGATTGGGGTTGAACCTGTAGAACTCCATAACATATCCCAAATAGTACCCCCAATATAAAACAAGTTAATCAGTAAGCAAAAATATCGAAATCAAGAGCCATATATATCTGGTATTAGAAACTAGAGATCAAAAACCATGTTTTTATTTCAATCATATTGATACTTTTTATAAACACAGTAAGCAAAAATATCGAAATCAAGAGCCATATATCTGGTATTAGAAACTAGAGATCAGAAAACCATGTTTTTATTTCAATATCATATTGATACTTTTTATAAACAGAGAAAATATCCATGTGTATAGGGAACACACTAAAGGATTCAAATAATTTTCGGAGGCACTGGGTAATTATCAGAAATAGAAAACATGAACTTACGTAAAATTGATCAAATTTCAAGAACGAGGTCCCTAATAAAAAAGTTTGATTACTAACAAAGCTAATCAGACTTTTAAAGATTTATGCTTCCGGATCGTATAGGATTTAAGTATGTCAGGAAAATATTCAGGAACCTTTACATTATAGTTATTTAATTCAGATATACATGCATGATTCCATTATTCAAGCTATCAGAGCATTTCAGATATTTTGATTTTCTATTTGATTCTTAGTAATTTAATCCAATAAGGGTGAAAACAATGTGTCGAAATGATTTTTTTACAAAAAAAATTATATCGATTTATCAAGATATCGGGTCAACCCGAACTGAACAAATCTCAGCACTGCGATACCTGTCAATCATTCAGACCCAAACACCTTGCGAGTTTTTACTTTTTCAACACTTACTGCACTAATTGAACTGATCACCTTCGGAGTCATCATTGAACGGATCTTGAGAATTGAACTAGTAATTTGATGGTATTTATATTATTCTGAATTGCAATAATATACAGAGTGATCGACATGCTTAGGTTGTGTCCAAACCTTTAGGGGTCGTTACAATATTTAATGCTTCAATGGTTTTTTCAAAACTTGTTCACAAACATTTCCTTAATCCAAATCATGAGGGTATTTGGATCATTATATTGCTCGGGGTTATTATGGTTATTTTGGGGCTCAAGGGTATTTCGATCATTTTTTGGTCCAAGGGAAATTTGTTCATTTCAAAACTCAAGAATAATCTAGTCATTTTAAATACTTCAGCGACGTGTCATACTTTCAATAATCTAGTCTTCAAATGACCCTTCTTGAACTTGAAGATCAACGTATTATGAATTCTAAAGGTAGAAGCTAACTTTTTGGGTTTCTCAACATGTCGAGAATTCAATTGATGATTCAAAGTCGTTTAACTAAATATGAGTTCTGAAGTCGTTTTCACTATCACGATCATCCTTAATCCCTTTTTCACATTTTAGGGTATTTTCGTCGTTTCATTCAATTTTATGATTGACATTACTCCCAATAATTTAGTTTTCAAGTGTTTATTTAAGAATCAAAATTCTAAATCTTTTTCCATCTCTGAGGTTAAAACCAGATATAAGAAGTTTTCTAAACAAAACAAGTATTTAACATGTGCATCAGTAGTTTAACTTGGATCAAATATGTCTTCCCTGGGTTGTTTTCCACTGCCAGGGACAGTCTTTGTCCTTTTAACAACATAATGTTATTTTCGTAATTTTACCCTTTAGGGGTATTATCTTAATTTCTTATCCAAGTATTTTTTACATTTAACCTTTAATGAATTTAATAAGAATTTATGGATCCTGAGGTTAATGGATTTACTGATTAATCACTAAGTTTAGATTTATTTCTTATCGGTCTTCTAACTTCTTATGCGAGTCATCCGAGTGTTATACAATTTATTAACTTTTTACTAAATTCATTTTGAGCCCAAAAATAATTAATTATACCTAATTGGCCAATAATAATCATTCATGCAATAACAAACATCGTGTACTGAAAAGCATGCAAAAAGTATTATTGTATTATCTCAATTTTTGAGTCATATCATCGACCAATTAACTACATTTGATCGCTCTCAAACTTGAATTCGATGTCCCATAATATCTCGGATACATAACGAAAGAAATTACGTAAGAAACGAAACTTAATCGGTAAAACGAATTAATTCAGAAGATAAAATGTTAAAAAACAACTTAATGAGTTTGAATTTGACAAAACGAACTTTGGATTTAAACTCAAGACGTCGAAAAACATAAAATAGGCATTTTCATAAAATAAAAGTAAAAGTCAGCATTGAGTCAAAGTCAACAGCTCGGTCAACTTGACTGGACTCAATCGGATCGACTTAAATAATGGCTCAATTCAACGGCTAAAATGACTTGATTCAGACTGCGACCCGACTCAATGGCTGAAACAGCTCGATTCGGCTTGAATTGACCGGTCCATACCATTTCTAGAAACTCCCTTGGTTGAAAGCAATGCCCACGTGCAGTGAGCGACCCATACGGCGCGTAGGGCGATCTACGATGGCCAGACGATCACCGAATTTTCCAGAACCATAGATCGGTGCCTTAAAAATCTCGTGCAAGCGTCGTTTCACGATGAAGTGTGACAGAGAACGTTATAAAAATGGACCCCCCAAGAACGGTCATCAAATCAAAAGATAATTTTAGCTAATTACCATCAAATCAAAAGATCTGTTGTAGGCCTCCAAGAACGGCCGACAGAGAACGAAAAAATTGGCCCTCCAAGAACGGCCGACAGAGAACGATAAAAATGGCCCTCCAAGAACAGACAACAGGAAAAAGACACTTGCCATCAAATCAAAAGATAGCTAAATACCGAGTACCTAAAGATGAGAACTTTCCTCCCAAAAGTAAATTTCAAACGGATTAAGGCAAATAAAAAGGATCCTTTTTTTATTTCTTTGGCTTTTTCCTACTAATTTTCCTCAACCTACGTGCTGTTACTAAATATTACCATTTCCGCTACTTTGTCTTTTTTTTTTGCCAATACAGCTAGGTTTTCCTTTGCCAAGGGACACCCCACGCACGATTTGTGAGGGGGGAAATAGAGATAAATTTGTGGTACGAAGGAGGGGGAAAGGGAATCAATCATGCCACCAGGTTCTAAGAAAAGAAAAGCTGCCAAGAAAAAGAAGAAGATCGGTTCATCATCTACCAACAACCTACGTGGTACTTTGATTTGCTTTGTTCTTTGGAAATTTTGGTTTGGGTTTTGGTTTTTTATGGATTTGGGATGATGGGTCTTTTTTGTTTTTAGCTTCTTTTGATTGAATCATGCTTGGTTCTGTTTCTGCATTTGTTATTCAGTTCTTTGTTTAATTTGTTGGAGATTTATAGTTAAATGAAATCAGCTTGATGTTCTTAATGGCTGATGTTAATTTTTCTAGTTTTTCCTCTTAACTAATTGATTTGGTTGCTTTTCAATTTGGATTATTGTCCTTTAATCACTTACTGTCCACTTTATGCTTTTTTAGGTCTTGTGGCCATTTTAGCCCATCCTGTATTTTACTTGATTTTGGTCAGAATCTTTGTTCTTGAAAGAACTTGTCTAATGTCTTTTTAGTATTGGTCTTGGTTTTTACTGTTGGTATTTTCATCCAAAATTAGTTCAAAAACCATTTTGCTTAATAAATTTAAAGATTTGTTCATCAGTTTGGCACAGTGTTTATTTTGGTTGTTTCTATAGTGGATTGAAAATTTTGTTGTTTGAATGGTGATTGAAGCTATTGTGATGTTTATCAAATGGTGCTAGGACATGATGATCCGAAAAGCCAAGATGAAAGGGACAGTGATGCTAGTTCCTATGTATCTCAGGATGACCGCACTCACCAGCATGCATTCAGTCAGAGTGAAGATGAAGGAAAAATATCAAAATCACATGTAACTGAGGTGAAGCATGTGGAGAAGACCACTAAAGATGCAGAAAGAACCGAGAAATCGGGATCAGACAATGTTGATTTTAAAATCGGAAAAGGATTGGAGCCAAAGAATGATATTGAGAACACACACGTTTCTATTCAGCATGTGAAGCGCGATAAGAGCTCTAGCAGCAGCAGCAGTAGTAGTGGAAAGAGTAGCTGCAGTAGTTCGGATGATGAATCTCAAGCCTTTAAGATGAAGTCGAAGGAAGAAGCCTCATATGATACCCTGGATAAGACTACTACTGTTTTGTCTGTAGTACCAAAGGTTACTGAAAATGTAACGTTTGAGAATGGTGGAAGTAATTCTGCGGGGAAGACTGTTGCTGTTGATGGTTCGGTAAAAACTGCGTTATCTATGCCAGAGAAAACAGACATTTCTGCAAAGAATTCACTACCTGATGCAGTTGAATCAGGTTTGAAGGCAAGTGAAGAGAATTTGTTGCCCTCGTCAAATGGGATTTCTGGGATTGAATTGGAAGGAGCTGAAGGAAAAAATTTCTCATCTTCAGATATTCCTACGACTGAAAGTAGTGATGTTGCAGAAACAAACCGAACATTAGAGCCTGATGAGCATTCTGAAAAGCAGGTATATCTTGCCCCTATTCTTTTCTACAATCGTGCGTTTGGATATTCCTTATTTCATTTAACTGAAAACTGTTTGATTCACAGCCTCTTGTTGCTTCTACTCCTCCACCGGTGCAAAGAACCTCATGCTTAGGTTGCTGTGGATTGTTTGAAGTTTTACTGGTTCTGGGAGATAATTGAAGTTTCGAATCATCCGCCAAGTTAGATAAACCATATTATACTTTCTTTATAGTTTGCAAAACTGAGTGTTTGAGATATACTGAGGAGGTCATATCCTTTGTCCTGTTGTGGGTGTATGAAACGAGAACTTTAGATCCCCAATTTATTGCTTGCCATTTGATTTTTTTGTCTTCTTTTTTCGGTCATCTGGAATTCTTTTCCGATTTGCAATGATATTGCTTTCAACCTCCTTGTCCTGTTTTTAGCCTTTTTTTTCTTTACGGATCCATTTATTAAAGCTTACAACTAATCACGAACGGTTCCCGGTTGGTCTAGATTAGCTTGATGAATGATGACAATGATACAAAAAACCTTATGGCAGCCTGTTCAGTTGTCTCTTGTCAATGTGTTCCAGCTACAGAGCTACTATGTTGCATTGTTTAGCTATATTGCTCCAACTCCTTATGAAGTGTGCATGTCTAATATATGTGGACACGCATTTAGAATACAACTCTCTACGAACTCTTTAAATACATAAGGATTATTAAACATGCTCGTATCCGACACCCGTACTCGAATCCTGGTTGCATTGTCTCTTGGGGACAGTCTTTGTTTAGTGGTCAACTGTGTAGCAAGCAGTCTGTTGTGCCATTTCAAGTGGATTTAGATTTGACTATTGAAAACAAAACTGTGAACTAAAGAAAAAAGTCTTTCTCAACAGAATAAAACTGCTCCAATAAGATCAATAGGAACTGAATTAAGTTTTAGAAGATCAAGTAAATTAGTCCTTATGTGTGTGTGTGGGGGGGGGGGGGAACTGAAGGAAGCAATGAATCTTTTGAAGAAATTAGTCTCTCATTTTGATCGAATTAAGTCTTTCTCGATAGAGAAAAATTGTTAGGACGGACATAAGATTTTATATTGGGGATTACGTTGCACTAATAAGGATATAGAAACAGATATAAGGACATGCGGGAATGTGAAATAATAATTTTCAAAATTACAGGATATGAGTACAATAAATATAAAATTCTAAAAGATATAAAAAAAAGTCACAAGTTCATAAATAAATTTTTAAAATCACAAGGTTCTTAATTTTTGAGGCCGTGAGATCGAGTTCTATGGAGGGTATTTCATAATTCGGAGGTCTCCTACGGAAGCTGCTCTCAACCTAGTGTTGGGGCAGCCTACTATATTACCTCCTCCTTATCCCATTACATATGGGAACAAGGGACAACCATTTATATTAGATATGTATCCAATTTTTTCCTTGCACTATCTTTGCTAATGCGGACTTATATTTTGGCATTTGATTGACATTTAAATCTAGAAATGTTCGGATCTCATCCAAAAAATCATAATAAATCAGTTGATATTCCAAGCTTCAAAAAATCAACTTCAAATTAAAATATTATTATTATTATATGTTAAATCTAAAAAATAACTTTTGGTATATCCGTGAAGATCAAATGCCCTCCCAATATGTCACTGGAAATCTTCCTGGCTTACTCAACTAATTTTAGTTATATCCCTTCCACATGGGACATCTTCAGTATGTACTCAAGTTGTACTCGTCCTGTAATTATTTCGGAGACGTATTAAGTACTTGAAACGGTTTTAGCGTGCCGTACCCGTGTAATATAAACTAATGTGTTTTCAAAATCGGACTGGACATTGAACCAGTGAAGGTACTGATTCACTAGTTTAACCGGGTTCAATCGCGGTTGAACCGGATTTTATATAAAATAATATATTTTTTTAATTTTACATAATATTCAAAGCAATATTAATATATATGTAACACTTTTTTTAAGTTTAGAATATTAAAAGGTATAAAAATATCACAAGTCATAACATGTATAAATGAAAAATCATAAAATTAAGTGAAACAAAATGATTCAAATCAATTACAACATAATATTTAAGGTAAAACATATTAAATAATAAATATAATTATATAACTATAATCAAAAAAATAAAATTAGGGTTTAAAAAATCATAACAAATGATGTCATTTGGTTTAATTGTTTTAAAAAAAATAATCACACATGGTTAAGAAACATAGAAGAGTATCCCAAAAGTTTAAAGAGTAAAAATATGAGAACAAAACAATCCCACATGGCTAAGAAACATAGAAGAGCATCCCAACTTACTTCTATAAATAATAGAGGTAATTTGACATTCAAAATCATGGAGCCTTTTGATGAGCACAAAGCGAACTATTCTTTCGCTTTTCGCTTCAATTGAGCTTAAATTTTAGGCTTCAATTGAACTTCTAATTTTTTTTTTGAGTTCGAGCCTTTTCGATTTCAAGTTTTAATATTAAATTTCGAGTTGATAATTTTTAGTTCATGAGTTTTTGAGTCGAGTTGAGCTTACTTTTAAAGTTTTCGAGTTTGAGTCGAGCTCAGCGATACTCGAATTTGACTCGGCTCGGTTTAATTTTTTTTTAAAGAAAAAAGTGAACCGGCGGTTCAAACCGGTTTTGCCGGTTTTCAGTCGGTTCACCCCGGTTTTCCCGATTTTCAGCCGGTTCTTCCGGTTCTTTATCGATTCTGTGCTAATCCGATTTTGGGAGTTAACCGGACCAGATAGGCCACCGATTTATGGTTCAACTGGTCGAACTGGTCGGTCCGATCCGATTTTAATAACATTGATATAAACTATGGAGTAAACTTTTAAAATTTCAGAGAACGAGAGACGTATTAAATTTTAAGAGATAAAAATATTTGGAAATAAAATAATTTGGAAATTTCAAGAAAACTACACCAACCCTCTCATCCTAATTACGAGTAATTGATTCACATATTACTCTTCCATATGCGTTAAAAGTGATTTTTTGATTGAGGTGATTGATGAAAAAAGGTATTTCCAGAAAACAAGAATTGACCGAGGACAAAGAGACAGTGCGACAATTATCTCTTTGAAAATGTAGAGTTATTATAATATTTTAGAGTTTTTGTTTTATATATTTTTTATTGAAAATAAATTTTCGTCTTTAAGATTTTATAAATTCATGTTCACACTCTAAAATTTTAAAAATTCAAATTCGTTCTCGTAATATAAAATTTTACGTCAATCCCTAAATAAAAAAAACTAATGATACTATTATTATAGAACATATTACATCATACTTGATCATCATTTGAGCAAGCATTCAAGAAATTTTGTTTAAAATGAGCACGAAGAAAGAATTCTCACTTCTTTATATTTTGAATCAGACAACGTAAGGATGATCATCTTTTTAAAATAATCTAAAATAATTATCAGATAATATTTGTTTCTGATTTCTGTGTAGCTTTTTAAGCATCGAAATAAAAACACAATTTCCGTAGGATAAAAGATGAACACACATCAATCATTTATGCACCGCCATGAATTGCTGCTATGTAGACAAGTTGTGTTACTGTAAGTATGATTAAAAATGCCTCCATCGTTCTCTGCAAATTCAACATATTTCTCACGTTAAACCAAACATACAATAACTGCGGTTTCCTTGAATGAATCTCTTTCCATTCTTACCAAACGAGCATTTCTGAGTTCGAGCTCGATTTCTTTGCAGGCAAATCTGTGGGAAGAAAAACAAGATTTTTCTTGTTAGTTTAGTGACAATGGATTCCAATCTCAAGATGTTAGTTCGAGGCTGACCCCATGGCAAGTACAGTAAGCGTCCAAGCAACGCCAGCAATCGAAGCTGCCGACGGGAAGCTACTAGCGTTCCACGATCGGATATGGTTGATGCCGGCAATAGCCGATGCTACACCGACTACTCCGGCTAGCATAGCGAATGTCACAAAGAATCCGGTGGCAGCATTTCCCATGGGGAAGTATATGGGTGAGAAATCCGCTGGAAGCTTGAATCCAGGTCCTGCAGGGTTCAAACCGGCTAAGTATCTGAATGCAATTTATAGAGCTAAAGACAGGAGGATCAGAGTCATACTATCAGTAAAATCTATAAAGAAAATATATGAATCATAAAAGAAATTGAAATTTTCAGAAGGTATGACACCCCTCGGTCAATCCCTGAGAAGGTCGACTTACCAATGATGAAACCATAATCGATGGCTCTATTCACAGCCCATGCACCAATGCCTAAAACAATGGAATACATGCAGAAATTGAGGAACAAAAGCAGTGCAGCAACAGGTTTCATTTGAGCACTGGCCATTGCAGTTGAATGATTCCTACAACCAATAATGATTATCAAAGGTACATGTGATTGTTGCATATTAGAGGGTGATAGATAGATATAATGAAACCAAATGAAGGGGTTAGGTTGCTTTCTTGCAAAGGCTGCTGGTTTCTAAAGGTGTCTGTAGAGTTGTAAAAAGCGTGCTTCTTGCTCAAGGCAAAAGAATAAACAGATTCTTGTCTGGTTTTCTTGTATTTGGGATGTTCTTTAGAGAATGGTACATTTCTGAAAATTAAGGATTGAACAGTAAGTTGATCCAAGGAGGAAAAGTCATATTCTTTACATTAATTGCCACTTGAAGAGGATCCATTTTAGCTAATTGTGACCTCTGCCACATGGAAAGTGAGTATCTCTTCTATTTATTTATAGAAGTAACATTATCAAAAGAGTAATTGTCGAAATAGTATCCTTTCAATAGCACATAGATGAAGTCATGTTACATTAATTATACCTTTCGAAACACTAGTCTAAAACACCGCTCTTTTACTTGCATGACACATCAAAGGATTATACTGGAGAAATAAAAATTGAGAGAAAATTAAACAGGTTTTATATGAAAGGAATAAATATGAATAATACATGTCAAAAACATGTGTAAGAACAATTTACATATACTTTTTTATATTTTTCATTTGGTTAATATTCATGTATAATATTATATAGCTTTATTTTAATAATTTAAATTTATTACAAGTAGTAATATGTACTATAAAGGTCATTTAAATAATGGACGCTGAAACAAAGTTGATATCTTCTATATGGCCTAAGAAGGCATGGGTGTACATCAATCATGAAAGCAAATTTCATGAATTTCAAACCATCATTTCAATTGGAGAAAGAATTTCATACCGTATCCATTTTAATTGGAGCAAGAATGAGTATAAGTTTAGTGGATAGTAGGTGAATGTAAAAAAACATACTCACCTTAAGTAATGAATAGGTGATAGATTGAGATCTTACCCACCCGCATCCGCCCACCCACTATAAAATTAGTCTGGGTTGATACAAATCAGCCCAAGATAAGCAATGGGTATCCAATTAGGTGATGGGTTTAAAATGGATTTGATAATATATACACATAAAAAATGTAAATTTAAATATTTTATCCGTCGTAGATAATGTAATAGATGAGCATGAAGATGGAAGAAGAGATATCCATACACGTCCCACCTATTTACCCTCCATAGCAATAACATCAAATCTTTAATGTATCTTCACGAAGACATAGAGTGATCCAAACCTGATCCTCTTTCACTATTTACTTCACTTGAGAAAATAACTTCCTATGCACCCAAACAAGTCAAATTTTCTTCACCGTATTGTTTGGGCAATTTTGGATAAAATCCACAATTATTTTTACACATCAAGTGATGAATATAGAGAGACAAACATTCGTACGAAATTATAAAAATAATCATGCGTTGTATCAATTCGACTTCTTACAATCTATTCATGGATTAACTACGAATTCACAATATTAAATATAATTAACAAACTGGAGGGTAAAAACATTCAAGAAACCATGAAAAAAATCGTACGGAATTGTCTAAAAAACAAAAGAATAAATCGTCTCTGGGAAGCTAAAAAAATTCATTTTGAGTTTCCATCATAATTATGAGCAGGGATTTAGTAACAGAAAGCTTACGAGAAAAGAAAAGCTAACCGTGTCGCAAGACCTGTTCACGATTGTCTATCAGCCCTCAAAACGAAACGCCCAGATACCAATATACAATAATCTGGACATTAGATACCACGGGCAACAACAACAACAACAATTTATTCAAACAATTAACATGCAAACTCAGTCGAAAGATGGTGATTATTTGAATAATCTTCACAGATGGATCAGGATTGATAATGATTTACATCATCGATTGCACCAAATTACGGTGGAAAAAGCAATTAAATTCATTAAAAACTGACCCCAATTTTGGAAACAATACGCATAAAGAGATCAGATGGTAGTGCATGTTGGTGTCATCATTCAAATGCAGAGATGATGGATAATATCATCACGCCTCTTTGCAGGCTGGAGATGAAAGAGTGGATTGTTTTGTAAAGATGGATCAGATAAAAGAGATGGTTTTATCACCAGCTTTCATCTGGAGATGAAAGTAGGACTGGGTGTCAAACAACAATCATCATTTCCTTCTCCTAATCTTACACAAAAAATTAAAGAAATCAGTGAAATCGTAACAAATAAATGGATCAGATAGTCGATCGTTAGTAACTCAGCATGTAGAAACTCAGACTGGGTGTCAAGATCAATCTTCATATCCGCATAAAATCGAGTTCAATTCAAAAACTGGATGATGATAAAAAGGAACAAATACATGAAATCAGATAAGAATGTCAATCACCAGCTTTGCATATGAAGACATTTAATGTATGCAAAGTAAGACTGGGGCGACAATAACTATCATCACTTTCCATCTTTAAAAAATGATCATAAAAGGGGGAAAATGCATACAAACTTGATTGAAACTGGAAAATTTTAGTACATATCTACACAGATTGCTCGATGGATATGGGTTTCCTTGAATTCCTTGGGCCCCTTCTTCAAAATCTTCTTAGAAACTGAGAGCTAAAGAGCAGCAAGAGAGATGGCTTAGGGGGAAATAGGGTTTTGGATTGGCCGCTCTGTTTCTCGAGGGACTGAGTTGCGGCATCATTATATAGAGGTAAGGCCGTAGAGGGGTGGCATTTCTAGGGTTTCACTCATTGTTAGGGTTTGTAGTTTGTTCGAGAGATTAGTATATATCAACGGTTCACCTCAGTCCTCTCGCCCTTTACTGTTTAATTGTTGGGTAAACTATACGTTTAATACCTAAACTATTTTTTTATTTTATTTTAGTACCTAAACTTTCATTTATTTCTAAATATATCTAACGTTTAATTTTATTCATTTTAGTACAACATCATTAAAAATTTAACGGCTTTTTTCATAGATGAATTACATCGTTTATTATTCAGTTAATTCTCACTCCCATTTTTTAAACAACAGTTAGACTCAATGCGAGCTTAATTCCACTCAAACTTAGGTCAAATGTTTGACGGGAGAATATGATTATATGAATTGCATGAAAATAGTAAAATAACTTTTTGTCTAATTTTTAAATTTTAGTTTAAATATTACTATTAAATCATACTATATATAAATTGAGATACAATTTTGATGGTAATTAAGAAAATATATTATTTATATATAATTACAATTTTTTTGAAATAATTACCTTGATTGCATTAACCATAAAAGATGTCATATAGAACAATGTCATATATACATTCAAGTCAATCATAAGTAAAATATAATGATGAGCGACTAACGATTGTCTGATGAGCGTGAATTGTTGAGGCAATGACATACAATGATATATCACTCTGACGTCCCTAAACACCAGATATGAAGGAGGAGAATTTGAAAAGTATCCAAAGTGAACTAATGACAAACCAATCCTCCTTTAATCGTAATCTTATCCGACACATCTATCTGAAAGTCAACAAAATATCATATACAAACAACCATGCATCAGGAAAGCAATCAACCAAGGAAATCTGTAGAACCATAAACCAAGAAGAAAACCGAAAGAAGAAACATGCACCGTGAGTTCGAGAGCACTTATTGTTATAATATCCTTTACTATAAAAGGGCTAAGAAAAAATATTATTGAAAATACGATAAAATAAAACTTAAATTTATTAAAATCAAACAACTTTGGACTAGAAAATAAAAACAAAAACCAGAAATGACAGTGGAGTGGCCGGGAAAAGCCACCACCACTGTCCTTGACGCAAAAGAAAAGTGCATAACCAAAGAAATGTGGAACAGATTGTAACTGCAGCAGAGAAAATGTGGAAAAGGGTTTTTTTTTTAAATATGCTTTATGAATAATTTTCTAATTACAATTTAAATTGAAATAACTGTAATTTGTAAGTGATTTCAGTGATAAAAGAGAATATTATTTTTTCTAGAGATCTTATGTTCGAATAATTATGTTTGTAAAGTGTGTTTTGTCAATAATTAAGAAAAATTCTAAACAAACACTATTATGTAATCATCTGAGTTATTAAAAATGACTTAATATAAAAAAATGCCCAAATTATATTTTTTTCCATTTAAGTGCTTAAACTTTTTTAACGTTACTATTTTAAATACATCAATCGTAACGATAGTAAAAAAAAGATCATTATCTAAAACAAGTCGCATTTATATATTTTAAAAAAAATTATTTAAAAAACTTAAATTTATTAAAAGCCCGAAAAATACCTAATTTCAATTTCCATTTTTAATTGTCGTTGATCATCTATGATTACCGTCTCTATTTTCACCCACCCACTGATTGGTCGTTATCTTTTCCATCGTCTTAAACCTCTAAACACAAACTTTTAAATTTCTAATCTTAAATTTAGTGGATGGGATCCTAAAAATCCTTAACCCTAAAATTATTAGGCAAAGATTTAAGGAATTTAGGAGGAAGGAAGGACAACGGGGAGAGGGATCTGAGGGAGAGGGGGGAAGGGGTTAGCACGGAGAGGGGGAAGGAAACGACGGACATGGGGTTGGAAGAAAAATTATAGTGTATTATTTTAAAATAATTTTTTAAAATAATTTTTTTATTTTTTAAAAAAATAAATAAGACACTGTCGTAACCGGTTTTCATCCGGACACGAAATATTAAATTTGGCGGGGAAATTAATGTGAATAAATAATTTTGAAAATAATTTGTGAGTCGCCATCGGCCTTTTGGATCAGGTAGGTCGAATACCTAAAAATTATCTTTTAAAAGAGTTTTTAAGAAAACATTATTTAAAAGATGAACTGATCTGCGTTTTATAACCAAAAATTCGTTCTTTTAATAATAAAAAGGGATTCGTGGTCGGTTACGTTTAGGGAAGGATTAGCACCCCTACAACGCCCAAAATTGGTACTTTTTAATTATAAATTGTCTCTATTATTAAAATTTTAAAAATTCAAAAATATATTTAAATTTTAGAAAAGAACTTCTAGGTGCCTTAAGACAGCTCTTTTCTTTGATATTGATAAATATTAAATTAAATAATATTGTTTACTTTTATTTTAAAATATCAGAATAGGACATCCAGTTATATTAAGACTGTCCTTTTCTTCGATATTAAAAATAAATATTTAAAAAAATTACTATTATTATATACATTTATGAATACATAAAAATATTTAACAATATAATAAAATAAAAATAAAAATACTACTAAAACAATATATTTAAAACATAAAATAAATGAAAGCATATAAAATAACTGACTAAATTACAATAAAAATAAATTAAAAATCTAATTCATAATTAATCAAAATTATAGGGATTAAATATGTATTTCTTTTTTATTTATTAGTGACTAAAACAAAATTATCTAAAATTCGGATATTAGAATAATAAATTAAAAATTAAATAATGATTAAAATATTATTTATTAAAATTAAGGGGTTAAATATGTTATTTATCCAAATATTATTTTAATAATAAAGACTAAAATGAATAAAAATAAAATTTCGAGATTAAATTAAAAATTATTATAAATTCAATTTAGTGACTAAATGTAAAATTACAAGTTGGGAGGACTGCGGACGGGGTTTAACTATTCTCTAATTACGCGCATAGTCCTTCCCGAAACGACGTCGTTCGGGAAGGACTATAAAAGTCCAAAACAGCTGGCCCGAAGGGCCAGCTATCTCATTTCTTTTTTTTTCTCTCTCTCTCAAACAGAGAGAGAAGAGTTCTCTGGCTTCTCTCTAGCTTCCCTCATCGGAGGGAAGCCGGTCACCGGACGGCCACCGTGTGCCGCCGTGAATGCAACCGCCGGCCACCTCATTTGTGGCCGGAAAAATTTATTTTCACCCTAATAGATAGATCGGACGTCTAAGGACGGTCCCGATGTTCTTTTCCCTTAAAAAGCTCCTAATCGGAGCGAATCTACAAAAATACCTTCGGTATTTCGAAGGTTCTGACGAGATCCGGTGGTCGAGCTTCTTTGGTAAGTTTCTTTCCTTCCTTTTCCTTCTGTTTTTGGTTGCTGGATGTTTGACTGAGATCGTTGGTTTAGTAGTTTTTTTTTCTTTATCTGTTTTTTTTTTCTCCGGTTCTGTCTCTCTCTTTTTTCTGTCTTCCTTCTCGTTTCTTTTTTTTTTTTTTTTTGCTTGCAGATGGGGTGATGGCTTTATAGCCATCACGGTGTTCGTCTCAGACCGGTCGAAGAATGCCCTTTGGTGAGTCCGGACTCCCAGTGGTGAATCACCGTTTGGAGGAGACGTGTGCGGCTACGGCGGCCTTCTGGACTCTTGGTAGACGTGGTGGAGGCTGGAACGTTGGTGTGGCGGTGAAGGCTTCTGGAAGCAGCAGCGGCGGCGCTGGGACGTGTCCTAGGGTATAGATACCTAGGGTTCCTCTGGCAAACTGTGGACCGTTGGATCAAACCAGATCCAACGGCTGGAATTGAGATGGCGGCTGAGGAAATTAGGGTTAGGAAACCCTAACTGGAACCCCAGATGTTTAGGGTTTCTGGTTTAATCTGGACCGATTCTGGTTTGTTTGTAACTGGGCGGTCCAGGTAATTGGTCTGTAATTATTTATTTATATAGATTTATTTAATATATATTAATAATAATAATAATAATAATAATATAATAATATAATAGTAATGTGGGTAAAAAATTAGTATCTTCAGACACATTTATTTAACAAATTATGTGTAAATATTCGTAATATTAAACATCTACGCATAATCGAAATAAATTTAAATACCTAAATAAAACATGTATAATTTAGACATTTTTTCAGAATTAACCCTTAAGAAAACAACAACCGATAATTGAAAACAATCAGAACAGCTGTAGAAGGTGAGTGT